CGCATGTATATGTGGAATGCCTGTGTGTGTGCGCGTGTGAGTAGACACATGCATATGTGGAATACCTGTGTGTGTGCGCGTGTGAGTAGACACATGTATATGTGGAATACCTGTGTGTGTGTGCGCATGTGAGTAGACGCATGTATATGTGGAATACCTGTGTGTGTGCGCATGTGAGTAGACGCATGTATATGTGGAATACCTGTGTGTGTGCGCGTGTGAGTAGACACATGTATATGTGGAATGCCTGTGTGTGTGCGTGTGCAAGTAGACGCATGTATATGTGGAATGCCCGTGTGTGTGCACTTGTATGTACATGACTGTGCATGCAGGGGCCCAGACTAATGCTAGGAATTCATCCCTCTTCCACCTTATTCACTGAAGCCGTGTCTCTCAACCAAACCCAGAGCTTGACAGCATAGCTCATCTCCGGAACCAGCAGGCTCTGAAATTCCTTGTCTGTACCTGCTGAGACTAGAGGCACAGTTAGGGATGTCACATTCGCCTGGCATTTCTGTGGGCTATGGGAGTGGGAGCTCCCCCGACCTTGCACGTATACAGCAAAAGCTTTAACTACTGAGCCCTCTCCTCAACCCTTGTTTTATTTTCTTAATGTGGCCACTACAAGTTTTGGTCACATTTCTGGCTCGCATCCTCTCCCTGGTGGTCAGTAGCAACATGGTAGCAGGCTGACAATCACTGGCAGTCTACGACTGAGGGCTGGACTTCACCTCCTCAGACTCCAGCTTTCCTACTGTAGGGGAGAAGAATTTCCAAGTAGAACTGCAAAATAATGTCTTCATTGTTAGATACAAATGCCTGTTTAGGGCCCACACCACTGTTGTTTGAAAAGGTCTGCCTAGGTTAAGACCATTTATGGAAGGAGCTGAACGGCAGTGATTCATCACACAAGCGTTTCTGGCATTTTCTGACAGTACCATCGTGTCTGTCCACACTGACTAACATGGATTCTTTGTTTTGGTTTGGATTGGGATGTTTGTTTGTTTGTTTTGATTTATTTGACCTCAGGCTGGCCTCAAACTCAAAATGTAGCTGAAGATAACCTCGAACTCTTGACCTTCTGCCTCCTCCTCCAGCATTCTAGGATTACAGGCATGTGCTCCTTTACCCAGTTTAATACAGAATCTTAAGTTAACTCATCATGTTCCTCAGAAATAGGTATTTAATAACGGTGCTCAAGAATATTTTAAATGAGGGGATAGTTCTTCAGCACCATCGTCGCAGGTGAATGCCCTAATTCTTATTTCTTACAGCATTATAGCTATAGATATATGCAGATAGATATGTATAGATACAATGTGTGTGTTTAGAATTTCAATAAGGAAAGACAAGCTTTAAGGTTTCAAACAAGAGCAAACCAGCTCAACTCTGTGTGCTAAGGAAAACCAAAGGAGTTAAACACAATCCGTGTTCATAAAATCTTGACAATGACCGATCAAATAATCTCTTTGAACCCCATGACCACAATCACCCTGAGGTCAGCACACCGGTCATTACCTGTAAAGTGAGATCTTTGTAGGAAAAGAAAATTCTTAGGTAGCAGGTATATGCAGCCTGCATCCATGGGCTGTACTCAAGTGCATTCTTTTCAGAGAGGAATGGCTCTGTAGGCAATCCCTACAGAAGAAAAATCACTTAGCACTGCATAGTATAACCCTCTCTTCCTCCCTCCGGAAGTCCTGTACCATTCAAAGGGGGTGTACTCCGGTAGCCAAGTTTGCAGTCTTTAATCTTAGGATACGATAACTGGTTAAGCACCCTGAAATCATCCCTGACTCCAGCCCCAACCTCTCCCCTGTCCCTTACTATCTAGAAATCTTACATCACCTGAAGAGTTTAGTCATGGGGAAATGGAGTGCTGAGGGGGTGAAGGTGGCCATTGGGGCTGAAAATAAAGCTTGGGCTGGAAATGGACTGCTACAGTGATGTCAGTGACTAAGGAGCTAGGAATTCTGATGAAATTCCAGGGTTCCAACATTCTGCTGAGACCATCTATGTCCTGACTGGAGCTACTGTTTTGACAGCTTGTGGCTTGATAGAATGCTGGTGATGGGCCTGTAAGAGTCAAAGGATACAAGTAATTAAGACCAGTCAGGAAGGATGATGTAAGGTCATCTCCATTTCAGACGGGGGAAGAACATAGCACGGCTCTGCCTCGTGGATCACGAACAAAAATAGCTGCCATCTGCTGGTGCCAGGTACTTTTCATGATTCCCTCAGTGAGTGCTCACAGCCAATTTTATGAGGCCATGCTAGATTGTTCTGCCTTCGTGCCTGGGGAACCCAAGGCCACATGTGGTTTCGTCACTTGTCAGGGATTGGTGTTGCTGAGGTTGGAACTCGGTCCCACTTTGATCTAATTCCAAAGCCTCATCTCTTTTCTGCGGTGTGGTGCTGACTTCAAGGACACTGATTCTCCCAGGAAGCGCTGTTACCGTCTCAGGTGAGGTTTGCTTAGACCTCAGGACACTGTTCAGTAATGGTGGCCTCCGAGGGGAAAGTAGGTGCTTCCCACAGAGCACAGGTGGGAGGGGAAGGGTGAGTGGCCAGGACAAGGCTCCATGTGCTGCTAGAGCACAAAGTGGCCCTGGTAATTAAGAAGCTCGCTTTAAAGAATTCTGTGGGAGTCATAGCTGTGTGCCCACTCAGTATTGCAACTAAGGGAAAAGACACCTAAAGTCAGACCTGAGTACTATTAGCAGTACAAATTCAGTAACAGTCCACTCTCTGATCCCTGCAAGAAACAGGTAAAGCGATGCCCCTTACTTCTCACAAAGACTTGGACTCTTAATCACCATTTCACTTTAGTGGAGCTTGCTATGACATAATATCCCTTATGAACTCGCTGTCTTTGTTTTCTGATCTCAGTTCAGTCACAAATCCAGGCTCATTTAGAGGGCAAGAAAAGCGAC